ACATTATACTGTCATGTATAAATAAAACAAAAAAATTAAAAAGAATGTGATTTCTGTGAAAATTATTTTTGAACTAAAATTATGCATATTGGATGTTTATCATTTGCACATAAAGAGTAAATCTGTGTCAGTAATATAGGACAGTAAATACAAAGTCTAAGCCTAGAATAAGTGGAAGTCCAAGGAGTAGTGGACATCCCAGCAGGATGACAGGATACAGTCATGGGAAGCAAAAGGCAGAAGACAGGTAATTGGAACCTGAGGAATTCTGACTACAGGTAGAAGGACCTCTTTCTCTAAATAAAGTAGCCCTGATCATGAGAAGGTGACTTTTAAAGCCCAGACCTGGCAGATGACTGAAAGTCAATGCAGAATATTAGAATGGGAACATGGGTCAGAAGCAGAGATCCCTTACTATGAACCAGAGCCCATATAAAGGAAGAGACTAGGCCTTAAAACACATATTCTTATTGTTATATTGGTACTAGAGAAGGAATACTATAACCCAGACACATTATATCTTGGATAAGTTTAATTATTATGGTGCTCAACTCTAAAGCATACACCACAATTATTCCATCCTTATTACTCCTTAACAGGATGCATCAAAAGGCAGATCTCAAGCAAATGGTAGAAAATTATTACAACTGGATGATGGTTTTGATTAAAGGGTATCTAAAACAATCACCCATCCAAACATATTTTATGAGGAATTCTTATATGGAAAGCAAGGGGTGGGATGGGGTACACATTCAGGGAGTCTTCTTAAATTCTTTCTGTGGAATAAGTATTTAATATCACATTGTTGGTGGTGTCTCTTTAAAGCTTGCTTTAAAAATACATTTTCCATTTTAAATATAGAAAGTCCATTTCTCTGCTACATTACACCAATTAATACTTTTAATATTATAAAATAACATATGTTTAATATGTTTGCTAAAACAACTAAATGAAATGTCATCAATAAGCAGTASTGTCTTTTAGAATGAGACTACAACTGAGAAATCCCTTAGTAAGAACAAATGTCTTGACAGAGGCAAAAATCACTTATTATATAGCATTATATCTAATGCTATATGTTACAGATGCAAAGAATAGTGAGTTCACAATCTATTGGTAGTAGCAAGAAACTGTAAATTCAGGTTATTCAACAGGTGAAAAAGTTTCTTAAGTGAAGGCATGGAAATTAGTGATCCTAAAATCAAACTTCTAATTGAAATTAAAATACCACCCTTATTAAAAAAATCTACCTTGCTCTTGGATAGGCACTATTTTAAGATTGTCAAAATGACCATACTACCAAAAGCACTATACAGATTTAATGCAGTTCCAATCAAAATCCCAATGACATTCCTCATAGAATTAGAAAATCAATCATGAAATTCATCTGGAAAAATAAGAGACCCAGAATAGCTAAAACAAAACATCCTTAGAAAGAAGAGTGAAGCAGGTGGCATTACTATAACAGACCTTAAAATATACTACATTTTGGGAACAAATTTTACCACATCATATGGAACACTAATCTCTAGGATATATAAAGAATTCAAAAATTTTATCACCAAAAATACCACAAATAAGCCAATCAATAAGTGGGTCAAGGAACTGAACAGACACTTCTAAAAAGATGATATACAATCAATCAAAAATTTATGGAAAAATGTTCAACATCTCTAGCAATAGAGAAATGCCAATCAAAACTACTCTAAGATTTCATCTCACTCCAGTCAGAATGGCAGCTATTAAGAACACAAACAACAATAAGTGTTGGTGAGGATGTAGGGATAAGGGCACACTCATACATTGCTGGTGGGATTACAAATTGGTGACACCAACCTGGAAATTAGCATGGGGATTCCTTGGAAAATGGTGAATGGAATCACATTTGACCCAGCTCTCCCACTCCCCAGTTTATACTGGGGACTTAATAACAGCATACTATAGGAACACAGCCACAACAATGTTTATAGCAGCACCATTCACAATAGCTAAATTGTGGATCCAACTCAGATGCCCTTCAGTAGATGAATGGATAAAGAAAATGTGGTATACGTACACAATGGAATATTACACAGCATTAAAAGAGAATAAAATCATGGCATTTGCAGGTAAATGTATAGAAGGAAAACAAATGCCAATGTCTTCTCTGATATAAGGATGCTGATTCATAATGGGGATGGGAGGAGGGAAACATGGGAGGAATGAACTTCAGATAGGGAAAAGGGGAGGGAGGGCAAGGGAGGGAGGATGGGGGTAGGAAAGATGGTGGAATGAGATGTACATCATTATCCCAAATACATGTATAAAAACACAAATGGTGTGAATCTACTTTGTGTTCAACCAGAAACATGAAAAATTGGTTCCACTTGTATAATATGAATTGAATTGCATTCTGTGGTTTTATATAACAAATTAGAATAAATAAAAATTAACATTTATAAATATCATTTCTGATGACTCAAACTTCTATTCTAAACTTTTATCTTATCCTGATAAACATCAGTTGCTTACTTTTACTTCTTCACTCAGATACTTCAGTCATTTCTAATATACAGTCATGAAAAGACTGGTATAGAAATGAAGTTCATCAAATGCTGATCTTCTGATATTATGGACCAAGGTAGCTTCCCAGGTAATGGAAATTTCAGTATTTCAATTGCTCTTGCTAAAAGCAGGGGTGCCCTCCTTTCATCCTTTCCAGCTTTCACACTCTTCATATAGACTATCTGGAAACATGGTGGACCCATAACTTCAATATTCACWCACCACCTTACCCTTAGTCATTATTATTTTTAACCTAAATTATTCAAAGAAAGGCTTTATTGTTTTCCCAAATCCTGTTCATTCACCATGTTCCATTGAAAGTGCTTCCTCATTGTTGTCTATAAATTAAATGTGACTTACTCAGAATGCATATACTGAAAAGAATATAGAAAATATGAAAAACTTATTTAATGACTAATTGAGAGATTGTGGTGGTACAAAGCAAAATGAAGCATGTAATATATACCTAAATGTGAATTTAGCACATATTTGTAAAGAGAGAATGAGGATGAGTATTTTGAAAGTAGTTTAGAAAGTTTCAGATGAAGATGAAGATAGACCCATGGATGCCATATGATATCCCTTGAGATATTCAGATGAAATCAAGACATGTCCAGATTATTAGAGTGCCTGATCTTGGATTCATATCTCCCAAGCCCAGGATTTGAATAATTTGATGATCCCCTGCTTAATTTCCTGGGTATGAACTCCATAAACAATGGGGTTGAGGGCTGGTGGAATGAGGTGATGCAGGACATTGAGAAGAATAGGTACCTCTGAGGGTATCTTCTTTCCTGCCTTGTTTGTGAAGATGAATACTAGCAACAGTGTATAGAAGAAAAGTATAGGAATGAGATGTGAACCACAAGTACTCAAAGCCTTGGTGGCRGCACCTCCCGACTGCAAGCTTGAAACAGCCCTCAAAATGGAGCAGTAAGACAGCAAGATGAGCACCCTGTCAGAACCTAGAAGGCACCAAACACTCATGAATTGATAGAGCTTATTGAGGTGATTATCCCCACAGGAGAGCTTGGCTACAGAAATGTTGGCACATATACAGTTCTCCACCACGTTGCTGGCACAGTAGTTGCGCCTAGCAGCCAGGACTGGAGTAGGAAGTGGGCCTACCAGATTGCAGAAGATAATGAAGATGGCTGTATTGATGACAAACTGCTCTGTGATGATAGAGGAGTAGCACAGTGGGTGGCAGATGGCCACATAGCAATCATAGGCCATGACCAGAAAGGTGGAAGATTCCACAGGGAGGAAGGTATTCATGATGAACATCTGCAGGAAGCAACCTGAAAAGCTGATGGTCTTCATGTTGAACCAGAAGATGAGCAGGATCTGCCAGAATCATTGTTCTCAAATACACTGTATATTCATTATCATCTTAGAGCTCCTAACTCTTATGAAAACACTCAGAAGGTTTGTTAAAACCAACCCACCCTCAAACCACAGCCCCACAACACCCCAGGACAGTATCCTCATTTCAAATCCTTTCTAAGCCCATCTCAATCTCAAAAGTCTAACTTATACCCTTTCCTAATTCTAGAGACCAACCTTTGGTTTTAAAAAACATGTGTATTTGTAGTCCTGTCCTCTCCTGATCTCTATGGTTCTTACCCAAACTCCAGTAGGCTTATCTGCCTATCACAGGTATTTTCAAGAAGTCCYGCCATACACATAAGAAACCTTTTACAACAATGTTTGTTATCACAGTACATGATACACATGTACATCCAATTACTTTTAGAAAGAAAATTCTAGAGCCCTGGGGTGTAGGAGTAGAATAATTCAGATGTTATAATAGGTAAGAAGAAAATTTAAATTTTAAATATCACTTATATATTGAGAGATGATCTGTCCACTGGAAATAATAAAAACTTAAAAAGACATGAACATAAAAATTAAGAGGGCATATCTCTGTCGGATCTGGTGTAGTGGTTTTCCTTTAGGGTGGGAGGATTTATAGAAGCAAAACAACATGCTGTGTAAAGAAAAAAGGTTGAAATCTGGAAAACAGTATGTAGATTCCTTAGAAAATTTGGAATGGAACCACCATTTGACCCAGCTATCCATTCCTTGGTTTGTATCCAAAGGACTTAAAAACAGCATACTACAGTGATGCAGCCACATCAATGTTTATAGCAGCTAAGTTCACAGTAGCTAAACTGTGGAACCAACCTAGATGCCCTTTAATAGGTGAATGGATAAAGAAACTGTGGTATATATACACAATGGAATATTATTACTGAGAATAAAAGAGAATAAAATCATGGCATTTGCAGGTAAATGGATGGAGTTGAAGAATATCATGGTAAGTGAAATAAGCCAATCCCCCCAAAAAAAAACCCAAAGGCCAAATGTGATTAGTGGATGCTGATCCATAATGAGAGGAGAATATGGGAGGAATGGAAGAACTTTGGATAAGGAAAAGAGGAGGAAGGGAAAGGGAGAGGCATGGGGCTTGGAAAGATGGTGGAATTAGATGGACTCATTACCCTAGATACATGTATAAAGACATGAATGGTGTGAATCTACTGTGTATACAACCAAAGAAATAAAATACTGTGCTCCATTTATATACTATGAATGAAAATACATTAGGCTATCATGTATAACAAATTAAAACAGGAAGGAAGGAAGGAAGGAATGAAGGAAGGAAGGAAGGAAGGAAGGAAGGAAGGAAGGAAGGAAGGAAGGAAGGAAGTTAGTTGACTGTCTAGAAGAAAGTCTTTGGAGGGTCTGACCTTGGGGATGACTGTGAGGCAGAGGATGACATCCAGCACAGAGAGGATGGCAAGCAGGTAGTACATGGGCTCATGCAGAGATGCTTCCTGCCAGATGGTCATTAATAAAACAAAGTTGGCCCCCAGGGCCAAAACTAGGAGAGGAGCCAATAGGATAGAGAGCCAGTGCTGTGTATCTTGCATGCCTGGAAAGCAGATCATCAGGAATTCAATCACCTGTGCCCCTGTGTTTTTGGAGGATAATGCCATGACCATCAGGTGGGGCTGGAAATGGCTAAAAGAAAAGAGTCAGAAATTATAAATAGACTCCTAACTAATCTGTGTGGCTCCATTCTAGGCATTCAGTTTTATCCACAATTCTACTGAATAATAGTCCCATTAAGTTTAAATTAGACTATATTGTTTAAATTGTTTTCCCATAGTACTCAATACTTTAGGGGTAAATAATAACTCCCTTCACATGACTATGTCCCACACAGACTCCACAATTCATTGACACACATTTAGATTAGCCACACCAATAGGACATGGTTTACATTCTGTTATTTTGTGTATATCATGTCCCTCTGGAATCCAATATTTTGCCCTCAAAAAAGTAACATCTACTTGTTCTATCCTTATCTTCACCAAGATTGTACTTCCTAGAAAGATTTTCTTATTACTCATCTTTAATGCCTTTCATTTTCAATGTTCCCCTTTGTATGATCCTCAAATACTCCAAGAATATAGCTAGCAAAGCACTAAAAAACCGTGAATACACTCATGGATGTTTCATGTTTTCCAAAAAGCCCATAAATGGAATTTTATCTTTTTATCATAACAGAGAAACATACTAGGCATTTAGTAACATAATAGACATTCAATAAGAATATTTCAGACATATGATACTGGTTATTGAAAGCACCATAATGCCTTAAAAATCATCCTCTCTTATTTAGAACCTCTGTATYTTACTTGCCTAAGCACCATTGCTTAGCACTCAAAAAAGTATGAATGATGTAGGAAAGAAACAATTTAGCAGTGATAAAAAAAATCAAAACAAAGCTTGGAATGATGGCACTTGCTTATAATCCCAGTGGGTGGGGTGCCTGAGGCAGGAGGAGCAAATTCAAAGCCATCCTCAGCAAAATCGAGGAGCTAAGCAACTCAGTGAGACCCTGTCTCTAAATAAAATACAAAATAGGGCTGGGAATGTGGCTCAGTGGTCAAGTGTCCATGAGTTCAATCCCTGATACTCACCCCCCCATCCTAAAATAAGACAGTTGTTTTGGGCTTGGAATGTGGCTCAGAGGTAGATAGAGTCTAAACAACTCCACTTTGATCTCAGGCACACAATTCCTGGGAATAAAGGACTCTCTTTTTAGACAACCACAATGTTTCACTGAGCCTAAACCCTTACCACATAACAATAACTTTATACAATGGACTTTCTTAAGAGCTACGCAAAAAAGCTCCTAACATTGCAGATTGCAATTTAGTATGTAACTGAGAGATAAGCTGCATGATGTTACTAGTCTGTAACCTGCCTAGTAATACAATRAACAATAATGTACTACTGATGCCAATGACCTAAAAGTAACTTACTGACATAAATAAAGCTGGCAGCTTGGACATTCTGCCACTCTGCCATCCTTCCTGCCTCTAAATCTTGTCTTTGTTTCTCTTATTATTTTCCTTACATTCAATCCCAAGTACCCTCACCCCACAAAGACTCCAAGCAAGTTAAAGGTGAAAAATATAAATACTAAAGACACTTGTGTAATAGCTTTTTTGAGTGTGAATTTGCTAAGTATCAAAAAAAATTTGTTTGAGGGAAAGGAGGAAATTAGGAAATGAAGTTTATCAGACAAAGAGAAACTGAAGGAATACATAACCATACCCTAGACATAATGCTCCACAAACTGGAGCCCTTTTCTCTATAAATCTCCWTAACTAGCCAGGAACTGACTGGAGAAGTAGTTGTCAAGTTCTTCTGTGTTCTCCTCAGAAGCACGGAGAACATCTTTGCTTATAGTTGGATCTGGAGGGTAAATTRTTATGGGCCCCTAGGATGTAAGATGCAAAATATTTCCCAAAGTTTGAAGCTCTTATTTTTTTCTCAATATATAGTGTGGGCATCTCTTCAGAATTTTCTTTTCATCAAGAACATTGGTTACCAAAGGAGAGTATGCATCAGAATSACCAAAGAACTTGTTAAAAACACAGATTTCTGGGAACAACTCAATTCTGTAGATGTAGGATGATATGGCTTTCTAACAAGTTCCTAAGTAAAGCTGATACTGCTTTTCAGGAATAGGACTTCAGGAATGACCTAACTTCTMATTTAGGTTAACCTTAATCCAAGCCGTCTGTCTCAGTTCATAGAGCCTCAGCCACAGCTCTGCTCAGCTTCAGATATCAAATTGGCCACCTCCCCATGAACTTCTGTCCTTACAGTACGATTCTGGCTTTCTGATTTGAAAGCTGTCTTCCTCCCATGGATTCTCTGAGAATACTATAAATTTCTTTTTCATGGTTTTGACTCTCTGACAAGTTCCATAACTTAGCCATCTCTCATAGGAGGATCAAAGATCATTAAGGTCAAGGACAAGGCTTCCTTCCTTTTCCCTTCTGGCAGTTGGCACAAATTCAGGTGCTTGCATTATGCCTCTAATAATCAAAGAAGGAAACCTTCTGTGCCATCATCCTCCCTGTCAGTGATAGAGCATGAGCTAAGCTGACCTACATCCTCACATGCTCATGTTTCTCTAATATCAGTGATCTCCACAGAGTACAATAACATTCTGTGAAATAAATAATGAAGAAAGTCAAAGAACAAACTCAAAGTGTCACTCATGCTTTGTTTGGAAAACATCCAATGTACTGTTCCCAAAAAATACTTAACAGAGAAAGTCTTCTCTACCCAGCACTTTTGACCATCCAGTGCTTTTCAGGCAAGGTGTGGCTCCTTGGCTTCTTGCTAACCCTAAGCTTGTGGCTTTGGCCTCTGGATCCATTTATGAAAATGTTATGTGGATAAAGCCATTCTCCTGTGACCAGAAAGACAAATCATTGGTCTTTAGGCTCCCATGGGCTCTTGTGTCCCTGTAGATACACAGACATTTCCAAGATGAAAAGGGAGATTTCTGCATTTATATTCAAGTGAAGTAAGAAAAGTAATCAACTTATAGTCTCCCTGGAGGTGACTGAGAGTTACATAAACTGTTTACAATGGGAAGGCATATCACCCAGGAACATGGAGGATATATCTAAGAGAACCTTTAACAAGAAAAATTTCAGTAGACTTACAAAACATACCTCATCTAACATGTAAAAGCTGCATTCTTCAAAAAATTTTTAAATGGTTACTTTGTGATCATTTTCTTTATCATTAATTTTTACTAAGTTCTATAAATATCTTACACAGGGAAAATATATTAATTTAGGAAGAAATGTTACACAATTTTTAACATTCCTTTAACTTGCATATATTGAGTTAGACTATAATATGTCAATGAGATAAGTTATTATTTCTAAGGTTTTTAGCAACAAATGAATAATAAAACACTGAATGAAAAACTGGTTAATCTCCATGCTGGTGAGACTGAAAATTAGTGCAATTACTATGGAAAACTGTATGGATATTCCTTTGAAAGCTTGGATTGCTACAACCATTTGACCCAGTTATCTGACTCCTAGGTTTATACCCAAAGGACTTAAAATAGTATACTATACTGACACAGCCACATCAATCATTGTAGCAGCTCCATTCATAATAACTAAACTCTGGAACCAATTTAGGTGTCCTTTAACAGATGAATGGATAAAGAAACTGTGATATACATACACAATGAACTATTACTCAGCCTTAAAAAAGAAAAATTATGGTATTTGCAGTTAAATGGATAGAATTGGAGAATATGAGAATATCACGTTAAGCAAAATAAGCCAATCCCAAAGACCCAAAGGCTGAATGTTTTCTGTGATATGCAAATGCTGAATCATCATAAAGGGAGGGAGGGCTAGAGAAGAATAAAGGTACTTTGAATTAAACAGAAGGGAGGGATGGGGATATGGGGGAATAAAAAATAGTAGAATGAATAGAACATTATTACCCTATGAGAGTGTATGATTACACGACCAGTGATATTCTACATAATGTACAACCAGAAGAATGAGAATTTATACTCCATTTATGTATGATGTGTCAAAAAGCATTYTCCTGTCTTGTGTAACTAATTAGAAAAAAATTTTAAAAAGTTTTTAAAAACTAACTCAGTTTTGAGTTTCCAGCACTCAACACTCCTAAATCCTAGAGAACAGGAGAACTGAAATACAGAATCCATTAAAGAATTTACTGGGGTCCTGGATTATTCTGTGACAATGAGAAGTCTGAACTTCAGAGCAGTTTCAGATTTCCCAGGTCACTGAAAGGAGGTTTCCTAGCCCAGCCCTCAGGATGTGCAGGATGATGCAGGGGTCATAATTAACAGAGGACAGAGGTGAGCCCCTGTTTAGGTGTGGGTGGCACTATCTGCTCTGCCTCTCTGCCTAACCACCCATACCTGAGGGCAGGATCCCCAGCTCCATGTGCCTCCTGCCAATCTTCATGCCAACTTTTTGTTGGTCCAGGTGTGACTGGAACCCTCTGGGACATGAGATTGGAAATTATACCCTACCTTCCCAGTTCCYTGTCCACAGTCACCGTCCCTGCCTTGGGTAAACATCAAGAATGGACCCTCAAGGTAAAAGTGAGAGAAYCAGCCATGAGACASTCCATGGGATTTCAGGTGGGGAAAATGAGGTCAGACTTGGGGCTTATTATTTGAGGGGMAGAYTGTTGAGAACTTTTGTTGTTCTCAGAGCCCTTGTGATGGGGTCATTTCTTGGCCTGGTTAGTGTGGTGCTGAGTCTCCCAGTGCCTCTGGTTTAGCGTCTCTTAGTTTTATTTCCTCCTGAGACAGAATAGTTGTTTTCCCCAGGTCTGACCTGGGCACTGACAGGGAGAGTCAAGAACAAAAAGAGAGATCAGAGGAGGACACATTGCTGCAAGCCAACCTGTGGGTTGACAGATGCCTATAGATGTCATCAAACCTTTGTGGTCAGCCTGAGGCAGTCATGGGGCATTCAGAATGGTCTTGGGTCAGCATTCTCACCAGCACATATAGTGCAGGAGGACACAATCAGTGCTAGTCTTGYCAGGTCTAGAACTCATGATTTCTAACTTTGGGAAACTTTAACTGCACAGACCTTGAGTGATGTCTTTGGGT